CATTTAAAGTCTGACTTTAAAGTCTGACCAAAGTCAGAATTCTGAGATTAAAGTCAGAATTCTGAGATTAAAGTCAGAATTCTGAGAAATTCTGAGAAAAAAGTCAGAATTCTGAGAAAAAAGTCAGAATTCTGAGATTAAAGTCAGAATTCTGAGATTAAAGTCAGAATTCTGAGAAAAAAGTCAGAATTCTGAGATTAAAGTCAGAATTCCTTTTTTTATTTTTCAGTGGCCCTATTCCTCTTCCATAGCCTACCTCCTAGAAATCTTCTATTAAAAGATGAAAGCATCCTTATAATTTATTTTTGACATTTGACATCAAATGACTAGGACTATGCTTTTATGTCAGATTTTTTTAGAATAACATTAAGATGTAACATTTGATTCTAATTAGGCTGTAATGTTGGATTCAGATAATTTATTATGCTGTAAACATGGATTGGTTTTAAGTCACTCAAGCGTTTATTCTCACTCATACACAGAAAATAAAATACAACTGATGCTTTTCACAAAGTCTTTATTTATAGTTAAATTTTATTTCAGTCAAGCTGAATTAAACCTTTATGACAATATTGTAGAAGTAATAATGCAAAACGTTTAAATCAGATAACAAAACCAGGATAATAGTAAAATTAATTTATGCTGACAATATGTTTTTGAGACTCACATTTAGGCACTGGGGGACACAAATAACAAAGCAGGTTCAGTTTCCTTTCTAAATATGCAAAAGATGAAACCTTTTCAAGTGAAAAACGGTCTGAGATTTGACCAGGACCCAGRTTGACTTTGTTTGTTTTATACTACAAACCAATTATGCTGTCATTACACTACAGATGTTCAGTATAATGAAAACACTGAAACTGTACATTAACTTTTAAGAAATAGTCACCATTAACAGGCATTTTTAGTTCCTAAACACAATGACATGTTAAGGTTTTAAGCTGTAATGTATCTGAAGAAACAAGTGAAGCATATTACTTAGCAGTATTTCTTATTAGAAGCTCTATATTCAGGAAGTTTAAAAAAACAAAAGCGAAAAGGGTGCAGTGTGGTTCAGGATGGTTTTATAAGATGGTAAGACTGCTGGGTGTTACAGAAAGCCCTGAAGCCTTGAACTGGTTATAGATCAARGACACAGTGTTTGTTAAAAATAATTAAAGGAAAACTTTCCCCAAAACGATAAGTGGTTTTGGGGAATAAAATACTGAGCATTCTTTGATGGAATACATATCGCCGCTAAACCTTTTAGGTCAAAGTTTAAGCTAAATCTTATTTTGAGAAATATGTCCTTGAAAACAAAGTTATGTCACGCATCACTGAGCGCTCGCTCACTCTGTCACTAAGTGTAGGGAATGACTTTCAGCTGCCACCATGCCAAAGTTTAGCTTAGTTATGTTTAAGTTAACTGAGTTGTAGCCATTGTTTTTTTTAGTTTAATTATTTTTGCAGTACTATACGGTACCCTGTTTAAGAAGTACAGACTAGTTTAATTAAAATTCATCTAGTGGTTCATGAGATATTTTGCTAACACTACAAACAAATGAACACACGCGCACTCAGAGGCAAAAKCATTATCGTCTTTCTTTAGCCTGTTGATAGTGGGCGATAAATACGCTCACATTTTGTACACTAAGCTGTGCAGCTAGCTCAGATGAAGGACATGACAACAATTTAAAGCTCCAAAATCAACATTTCAGCCTAGCCAACACCATGAACAATGACCACCTAAGCTTTAAAAGGTATTTCTGGTGATTGAGTTACTAAGACKATCCATGGAGGCAGTGCTGTTGGTTACAAAGAGTTTCAGCTTATAAGAAGTTGTTTTTAGCTAATATTTCCTGAGCAGGCAGCAGACAGTAGGAAGTGTTGTTTACATACATGATGGGATAAAATGCAGGTATTAATATAAAAACACAGTAGCTGTACGGAGTCTTTGTATGACTGAAATAATAAAAGAGGACTTGTTTGGTGTTTGTTCATACTGACAGGGGCAGCCATTAAAGTGGGTCTGGGGAGGCAATGCCCACCTCTTAATAAACATGTGGCCCCCACTAACAGCTTTATCCTGTTGAGTCCCAAGCTTTTGCGTCATGTGAATTTTTAATTTCCTCTTGTTATTTAGGGTTAGTAGAATCGTATAAACATCAAGATGTAGTTTTTAAGCAATTATGGGTTAAAATATGCATGTTATTTAAGAATTTAAAACAAAACTTAAACTTGTGACCCCCAATGTTCTGAACATTAAGCTCTACATTGTGACATATTGCTGTATTTGTCAAAACACCTAATGTATTTATGAAGGCGAGTGTTGAAAATAGGCAAGGCTGCTATAGAACTAAAATATATCTGGTGTTCCAATGTACTTGTAAATGTCCATAAATAAATAATAATGTGAACAATTTAACCCAAAAATTGATCCATAAAGTTGGGGAGTTGTATTATACACTGGATCAAATTTTTTCCTGATGTATTACCACATTAAATTTCATTATTTTCTTTTATAGAACTGAAATACAGTATTTTGTTGCGTGGGATAAATAATCAATTCTCCCTTTATAGAATATGTCACGTGTTCTAAAGTCACAAGTTCTAAGGTTTGTGCTGTTGGATGAGGAGTCGGAGGAGGAAAAACAGGTTTTTTTTACGTTATTGTTAACCGCGGAGATGAAAAGAAGACATGGATGTCAGTTGCACATTTGCATGCTCAATAGGACCAGATGAGCTGCTCCTCTCAATGCTGACCGTTTTCAGTGATATGCAGAAGCTCCTCCCCCAGCCACAGACACGCCCACYGGGGGTGTGTCCCCAAAAATCTAAATAATTCAGCTCTGTGACTACAGGGTTCATCTTCCCAGTGTAATACTGTAACTCCCACTCCTGTAGGGGTGATGCCTTCTTGGGGGAATAAATACATTATCGTGACAGTAAATATCAGGAATAACAATATATATATATATATATATAAACATTAGATGTGTACTTTTGATTTAGTACTTATGAGTTTTTAATGTCACTAATCACAACACTCTGTGTTTGTGAGCTCACATAACATTAGCTTTTAATCAATGCTTACTTAGCAAAATGAGCTAATGTTAGCCAGGTAGAGATTTGCGACTAGTACCAATGACTGCTGGTCATATGAGTTTAAAAACTCAAAACAGAAAGTTTCGCTAATGCTTTGTATGTCCAGCTGGTGGAAGACTAAAGAAACATACAAAGTCACTCAAAGTACACATCTGAACTACACCTGAACTTCTCCTCTGCAGGACAATAAAGGCTGTTTCTACTTTATTCCTCTATTCTATTCTAATAACAGGTTTGTATAAATATTTTTTCTAGATATTTACTGTCACACTAATGTATTTATTCACCCAAGAAAGTTTCTTTGTAAGACATTATGTTTTATTCAATAAACATAGTTAAGCATTTATTTTGGTACTTCCGGCTACAGTGTGAATTTGTGCATTAGCTAAGTATTTAGTTTCAACATTTAGGATTTAAACAATTAGCTTTTAGCATTTAGATTTAATGTTTATATTTAGCTTTAACATTTTGCTCTGACATTTCGATTGAACTATTTAAATGTGCTAAAAGGTGACTTTAGAGAATCAACACTACTTACGTAGTTTGAAGCTAAATGTTGCTATTTGCAGAACAAGCTGCTTTACAAATGGCACCCCACAGATATGATGCCGTGCCTACGTTTAAATTTAATTTGTGGCCCTTCGGTCTTAAGAACTACACTGTAAAAAATGAAATGTTGGATTTACTTAACCATGTTATGTTACCTGGTTCCACTTAACTGAGTTGAGTAAATTCAAAGCAATATACCAGTTTTTTAACCAAAGAACATGAGTATGTTGCTTTGAATTTACTCAACTCAGTTAAGTGGAACCAGGTAACATAACATGGTTAAGTAAATCCAACATTTCATTTTTAGAGTGTACCTAAAATCAGTTGTCAGGGAATAAACTCGTTTTAGGGTCGTGAAAAGATGGCTTAYACTTGAAATGAATCTCAGCATATGGGCTGAGCTGCAGTGTAATTTATAATGCCAAACTAAACTGACCATGCAGAAATGTCATCCAGAAAAAAAAGACTATTGTTTCATTATATTTTTAATGATAATAGCAGTTGTAGGATTCATTTTTAGCACCTCAAATTCATTTYAAAACACAAACAGAATTGGGAGATCAACCTTGGTGTTTGTGTGAATTCTCGAATGTTAAGGTTTTTAAACATGACAAATATACATTATGTTCATATTACATTTAGATTTCCACACCTTGGAAAGGAGATTTATTCACAGTTTTAATGAAACAAGATTTTAGTGCAATATTGAGGCATTTTTCTCCTTTTAAGTGTCCTGTGTAAGCTAGGTAAGGCAGTTAAGTATACTTCTATATTTTATAAGTAGGAAGAAGAATAAAAAGGTTAAAGTTTCAACAAATCAGTTCAGGTTTTATAATCCTGAGTGAATTTCGACAGGGTTTAGAAGTGATTTCATGCAAAGTTAACTTAGTTTATCTGTTTGAGGAGTTTAGCTCGTGATAAAAGGGGAGCTGTATTCAGTTTAACGGTATTCAAAGCAAAAGCCTCTAAAAGACCCTCGTTCACAAACACCTCACTTAAACAGCAACGTTTTCTGTTGAGATTGAGTGGGTTTAATGTTTACTGGATTTGCCAGATTTCCCAGTCTTGCTGGTTTTAGCAGCTTTGGTAGCTTTGATGTCCATCTTGGTCTTCTGGATGCGAGAGAAGATCTCCTTGAAAAGGGCCTTGTACTCCGGCGTGTTCTGCCRAAGCCGCTTATCCACGGCCTCGACCTGCTTGCTAATGGACTCGATGGCTTCAGGGGTGGAAGGCGACTGGGTGGGTGTGGGAGGAGGTGCTGAGGTGGGGCCCATGGCACAGTCCTTCATGGATGGGTCTCGAGACACGGGCCGGGAAGTCTGCACCCCAGTGTGACACAGGCTCTCCTCGTGCCGCCTGCACTTCCCCAGCAGCTCCTCGTATTTCTCCAGCAGGGCGTGGTACTGCTCGTCCACTTCCCTGAGGATGGACATCCCTCGTTTCCTCACGCTGTTGGCGTGGAGCGCGTAGCTGCCTCTCCTCCGACCAGACGCGTCCCGAGCCACGATGGCGTTGAGCGCCGTGTCGCTGCAGCTCTTCCTCACGGGGCTGGACTCGGGTAACGCCTCGCCTCCGACACCTCCTCCGCCTTCGCTTTCTTCCCTCACGCCTCCTCCAGTATCCCTGGCCTCCACTTCCAGGAACGTGTCGGTCTCCGGGGTGATGCTGAGGACGGTCTGGGTTAGGGCCACGCCATCATCCTCGCTGCTCAGCAGGAAAGTCCGAGCGCGACGGAGCTGCTGCAGCTCCTGCAGCTCCACTTCCAGCTCCCGGACCCTCGCCTGGCAGCTCTCAGCATCCTGAGGAAAAACAATCATTGGTGAACTTAAAAGTTAAAAAGGCAGCAGTCAGTGTCATTTAGAGTGGAGAATCGAGGAGGGGGTTAAAACAGGGAACAATTCATGATTAAATTTCTGCTATCTAAGGCCGACACTATGTTGGGCACTTCAAAATTTAAGATTTTCTGCATTATCACCTCCTTTCTGCACAAAAATGGGGATTTTAGTACGAAAAACAGTCATTAAATAATGTTTTCCAAAGAAGATATTTCTTTAAAAACTCAGTTTTGGTCTCCGTGTGGATTTAAAACAAGGAGCTTTTCAGAAATGCAGCCTGATTTGGGCAAATCAACAATCACTTTGCCCTAAAAACCCAAACGATAATGAAACGACTTCTATTATTTTTTTCTATGACTGTTTCTTTTTTGCCAACAACCTTTATTTGTGTGCTGAAATGGTTAATAKCTGAGAGGCAGCTGTAAACAGTATTAAAAAAACAGGGTTTTAGAAGAATCTTCAACCAATTACAGAGGCTGTGTCTCAATTCAGGGGCTGGGTCCTCGTGAGCGCGCATTTGTCAGCTGCTTACGTCACTGCCCCGCGCCAAGTACTGTCCCTAATCGAAGGCTCCTCATCARGRGGCCGACAAACTCTCGAAATGCGAGGATGCATCAGTGTYTCCTCACCGYCCGAGGATATCCCAGGATTCAATGCGCGGGCAGCAAAATAAACAGAGAAACGAAGACGGTGGAGTTTTTATTTTTTTAACAAGTCGGCGTAGTTTGGATGTTCACCGCGGACCGAAGAATTTGTTTTTCAAATAAGTTTATCAACTTAGCTGATGAAATTTATGCTGCAATAAGATGTTAAATTAAAAAAAATGCAACTACAAGTGCTGATACTGGAGCTAAACCCGAATTATTAATGTTTTTTTTTTTTGTTTATTTACATGTAACATTTTAACTGTGAAGTTATTCTCCCAGTAAAAAGACGGGTAAATACTTGTCACAACGTATTTTAAGTTTGTCGTGAAACTGATCACTATGGTTAACAGGGTAGCAGGTGGTCACACAGACTCAAGTAAAGCAGACATCAGGCGAAGACTAGACCGTCTCATTTCAGGGCAGTTTTGAGCAGCCTACCCGGCCCAGGGAGGATGTGGCCCAGCTGGGCTACGTGCTCATGAGGACCCAGCCCATGAACTGAGACATAGCCAGAATGCTCATTCTCTGAACCAAGAGATGTTGTTCATTTGGACYTTCTCACCACCTAGTGGTACTTCATGGGTATTTCAGCCTTTTTGTTAAAATTGTGTGAATGAAATAAAATTATGAACGGAGTCAAAAATATTAGTTAAAAAAAAGACTCAGGATAAGTTTGTGCTACATTCATGAAACAACGCAGAAGACTGTTGGTCACTGATTGGTTTGCGGGGGGTGGAGTCACTGGTTGCGTCACAAGCTACACTCACAACAACATGACGCACCACTTGCAATAACAACACTACCATATCCTCTATTGTTGAGTTGAGTATTTATTTGTGGTTTCTTCTTCTACTATGTTTAATAGTGGCTGGTAAATAGCTTAATGGAGCATAACCACCAGCAGCTGGTAAGGCTTGTGGCGTCAATTTTCGGACTCTGAGACCAACCAACTTCATGATGAACCCACTAGAACTATTACTGAAGTGGAATGGAAAACCACCTGAACCGTGCTGATCAGTGCTGTAGAGGAGCTAATGGAAGAGAGCCATAAATAACAAAGAGGTTTCTTAGTTACTGAATCAGGTGTGTTGGAGCAGATAAACAAGGAAAACATGCAGGTTAGCAACCTTCGAGGRCCAGGATTATACACCCAGACCAACCATTTTCTCCTGACTGACTGTTAAATATAAAAACACACAATCAGTTTGATTGATTGATTAATTGATTGATTATCCCTTTACTGTCATTGTACAGAGTTTACACTTGTTAGTGTTGATGTGATGTGAGTTTACAAAGGAATAACAAAATTCTCTCTTCCACCTGTGATCAATGCATACTTCTGAACTGATGTTTCAAAGTAACAACACCCTTTGCCTTGAATTTTGTGTTTCACCTGGACTCGTGTTTGCAGCCGAGAGAACTCTGCAATCAGGAGGTTGCACTCTTTCTCCACCCCCTCCCTTCGACCCCGCTCAGTCCGGACCGCTGCTCGCAGAGCCGACACCGCCTCCCTCAGGTGCTGGTTGTCCTCCTCGAACGGCTGACGCTTGGCATCCAGAGTAAAGCTCTCAGCTCGGCCCACTACAAACTCATCCTCATACCTGACAAGAAGATGCGCGTTTAGCTGGTTTCAGGTGGGATTTTTTTTCCCCTTCTACTCTGTTTAAAGCTCTTTTTCCACATGGAAGACGTAACACACCTGGGTGCCGTGCAAAGCTCTCTCAGGCACGGGAATGAYTGGATGGTTTTGCGTCGCTCCCTCTTCTCTCTCTTGACCCGAAGCTGCTCCATTGAGCGAAGCTGGTCCACCTGTGCTGACAAACCCTCCACCTGGTTCTGCAGACCCTCGATTGTCCCCGTCAGCCTGGTGCAGGAGAAAAACAAAAAGCAATGTTTTTATCAAGAGAGAAAAGGGAACATCAGCAAAAATGTGGTTGAAGGGAGCAGCCGAGCTCCAGCACCTCTCGATCTTCTCCTGTGAGGCTTTGCTGTCCGTCACTAGTGTGTGGTTAGTGCGTTCCAGTTCTCTGGCTGTGCCGTCCAGCTGCTCGTACACTTTGGCGTGTTGCTCGTTCATTTCCCGAAGAACCTCCAGCTGCTTCGTCAAGTACTAAAGAAAAGAGGAATGATCACATGTTTGATAGAAACACTGCTATGTGCTGGATAAATGGACCGATACTGGAGGTTACATTGGAAACTGTAACTTTATCACAATGTTCTTCTGAAGGCAGAGATTCATTGTAATTAAATACATAAAATTTACTTTTGACAGGATATACTGTAGTAATTATATCTGCCAATTAACATTGGAATGTCTCATTATTTTCTAAAAAAATCTGAATTGATGGTGAAACTGAGGTCTGAGGACTTTCGTCTCTAGAATCACACACACAATGTATACTGGTGGTGTAACAGTACCGGTATATGTATTTACAACTTTCATCTGGAAGAAAATGCACTGTTTTGTTCATTTTCCCCCAAAGGAAAGGAGGAAGATGTTATCTAAAGCAGTGGTTCCCAAACTTTTTATCTTCTGACCCACAAAATATGCACTGCAAAAACTTGTGACCCCAAGTATTACTGGTCTGAGTACACAAACTTCGTTAATAACCCTAAAAACACAGGCTTTTTGACAATCTAAACAGCTTGTACACAAATATAAATACTTATTCATACTTTTTTGTGTTTTTGTAATAATTATAGGGAAAATATTACAACAGCCATTATTTTATTACCCTTTAAATTGATTTCTGGAGATAATCCAAGGTGCTTCATGACCCATATTTGGGTCCCAAGCCCAACTTTGGGAACCAAAGTGCAGTGGTTCCCAAACTTTTCAGCTTTTGACCCACAAAATAACAGTAGCAGAGACCTGTGCCCCCAACAATTTTTGGATGATAAACATTTGTATCAGGCCAACTAAACATGGGCATAGTAACAATATTTTATACTACATTTATCCATTTTAAATGCACTAACCTCACTCCTTTGTAACAACTACGGCAAAAATGTAATTAATTCAGAAAATCTTGTCAGGACCCCACCTTGATGTTTCAGGGTCCCACTMTGGGTCCCGACCCCAACTTTGGGAAACACTGATCTAAAGCACCCTACAACAAAGCAAAGCAAGAGTAGCTGGTTCAGACGGAGCTTGAAGAGCTGCCCATTTGTTTCAAATCAGCAGTGTGGAAACATTTTTTATACGGTGAAGTTGTGTTTCAGTTTGCGAACTCAGTCTTTCACAGATTATTTATAGAACCTAACTACTAGTAGTGTGCGGTAATCCCCATAATATCACAGAACCCGGAAAGAAATTACAGTAAGGAACGTCTATTTTTTTAAAGCTAAATTATTAGGAACAATATCATTTACAAACTTTGTAACATAAACATTAACATTGATTCAGTTCCATATAAAAATACATAAAATACAGTACATGGCAGATGCCCTGTACACAGATAACTGTGCAGTACCGCGTGGCGTGTAGCTGCTACCTGTTTGATGTGTTTTTGTTTGGTTCTTACTGCATTAGGATGCTACCTAAATGCGCTGGCCTTTTCTGTACTGCATCCAATATTAGCCTTTTTTCACAATTTGCAAGTATTCTAAGAACATAACCCCAGTGAAAATCTGGGCTTCACTGTAATAGTAACCTGTGGCAGGCAGTTAAAGGTTTGAATGTTTCTTTCAACAAGAGTCAGTTCTTTACATGTACTGGTTATCTACGGCAGCAGGTGGATGTATGGAAAGCCATACAAATTATGAATTGTCTTTGGTACAGAAAGTCAAATAGGTCATAATCCACAACCTTTTAAATGTCGTCTGACATCTTATCATGGATGAAAACACAAGCCGACTAATAATAAATGCCACTTGTGGAAATATTTATTTAACAAGGACAGAAATACGTGATTCAAAGAAAAAGGAACTTTGTAGAATGGTTGTCTGAGTTTTGTTCAGAGGTCTATAAAGTCTTTGAAAAAAACTAAGTAAATGTAAAAATATCTTAACAGAAAATGACTGGTAAAAATAAATTCCAATGATGAGAAAAGTACTTCACAAAGATCGGGTAAGTAAAAGTACTTTTACACACTCTCTAAGAAATAAGCTGTTGCATTTACTTAACCAAACTGGTTCTACTAAACCGAGTTTAGTAAGTTTAGTAGTAACGAGTAAATTGAGCAATATACATATTTTCTTTAAAAGAAAATATGTTTAGTGAAACCTGTTGGCATAACTTAGTTGAGTAAATTCAACACTTCATTCTTTAGAGCTCATAAACAACTCCTTTCATGATGAGTTTGAACATATTTAATTTGTAACGAGAAACTTGGTATTAAATTTTAAAGAAAAAAGTAAAAGTCATTTTTAGGTTTTAAATGTAAATCAAAGTAGAAGTAACATTTAAAAAAATACTTGGTAAAAGGACAAATCCTCAAAAATATTACTGAAGTACTGTAACAAAGTAAATGTACTAAGTTACTATAAACCCCTGGTTTTGTTTATTGCAATAAGCAAGAACACAGAAGTTAACACAAAGTCATCAGGCTGTCTATGAAGTCCTGAGATAACACCTGCTCCCCTGAACAGTAGAAAGCTTCCTATGTGTTTAACAAACATCATTATGTCATCTTAAAACAGCAAGATTTCATCCTAAGGGCCTAGCTGGGGCAAGGTAAAACTTAGAGATGTGATATAAGAGTGATCTTGTTCTGGATATAATCTTTTTATCTACCTATAAACAGGGTGCCATGAAAAACTGGGTCCATTACATTATAATTTTTCCATTACAATCCAAACAAAATTGAGCTGATTTCACCGATATGCTTCTTTGCGGGTATGGGCTGTGATTTATAAATATTTGAAGTTTGGTTAAAACGGACAACAATCACAACAATTTTTGTTGCACCAGAACTCAGTGCCAAGTTTTTTTTCCAACAGTGCATTTCCAATAAGCCCTTCTGTCAACACAACACATAGAACAACATAAAGCATCACTGCATCTCTTTCTTCCATATTAGTTTATTTTAAAAGGATTACAAGTAGAAACTATGGTTGTGGGTGAGCTCAGCTTTGCACTCAGCATCCAGGCACCCCCCTCCATGTTGATCTATTGGACCGTTGAAAATAAAAACAAAACTATAAAAATCCCCGGTTAGCWGGAGTACCAGCAGAATGTCTGTTTCATAGGAGAGATTTTCAGCTGCATGGCTTGGGCTGAATAAACTCTAATTTACCAGAATTCAACATGATATGGCCATTTTTCAAACATCCAGAAACAATGATATTTTTAGTAGATGATGTCATCAATCACAGACCTGGCATCTCATTTATAAAGGATTGCGTGGAAACCATACTAAACGTGAATGTATGGCCAAAAGGTGGAAATGGCGTACGCCAAAAAAATTCAGATTTATAAAACCGTGCGTACG